CCCTGGGCTTGCAGACGCAGACGCAGACTGCTTTTATTAGCACACGGAGCGATTCCGCAGCCAGGCTGTCTGCGCCAGGAGGAGAAACAGGAGGAAAAAAAGACAGAGAGAAAGAGGATGGGAGTAAGACAAAGAGAGGGGGAGGACAGATCAGAAAACTGGTAGTGATAGAGAGTGATGGAGAGGAAGAGAGACAGATTCGGTCCTCAGGCAGGGTGCCGCCATCTTAGCACAACAGCATCTCTCCCTTGCTCTCTGCATCCCTTCCCCCCTTCTCCTCCATCCCTACCTTTCCTTTAGGCTGCCTCTGCTCGGAATTGCAGTCCTTCTCGTGGATCGTGCACACACACACACACACAGACACACACACACGCACACACACACACATCCTCACATGCGGTCCCATGGACGTGCACGACGGCGTTGAGCACCCCCCCCCCCCGCAAAAGCGTGGTGGCAGCCACAGCCCTGTGCTCAGGGACACACCTGCACACATGCACACATACGCACACATGCACATGGTCTGGGAGAGCACCCCCCCCCTACCCCCCACAGGCACACGCACACACAGCCTGACATGCCTGTACAGAGAGCTACACCTGCACACGCAGCCCCGTCTAGAAGCGCGTCCTGCATCTTGCATAAATCTCAGCTTGTTCTTTTGTCCTCAGACCCGGCCCGGCTGTACGCTCTAGAGAAATAACACACCACACCATCTGATAACACACGCAGCGGTGTGACGGGAAAATGGCACGTCCCAGAAGCCTGCAGTGTTGCGTGTCAGCCTCTGATAGTTCTGCAGGCCAGTAAGGACCCATATGTGGATGAAGGGCTCGGTAGTTTTGTGGGAAGCTGCAGGGATTTCAGACCAGCGACTGAAGGATGAGCGACATCACCCTTTGCGAGAGGTGAGCTTATGATTCCAACATTCCACGGTTACATCCATTTCCACCCATGAGCACCACAAGGGCATCAGGTCCGTGATCCCAAGGCTTATATGGCGGAAACACAGCCAGCACCGTCTGCTATGTCTGAAAGTAAGAGGATTTAAGGGTCATGTTAGCACACACTGCTACCCTCTATGCAAGGAGAGGTGTAGGAGGAGACATGGGCACACACACACACACACACACACACACACACACACACACACACCGAAGCTGCACTGACCACTGGCCCCAGCTCAAGCCGGGCTCTGGGCCGTGCTTGCTGAAAAGCTCCACCTCGTGCCAGGCGCTGAGAGCACTTCCAGTAAAATGACCTGCACTCTGCACATCCGCAGTGGGGGTCGGGCCCAGCCTTGTGAGGTGGGGGGTGGGATGACAGAGCAGGGAAGGAGCGAGCTTGTGACAGGGCGGCCTCTCTCTCTAAGCACCGTATTCACTCAAAGAATATTAAAAATAAAAAACACATCAGCATCGTTTACGTGTAAAAATACAGCCAGCATCCTTTCGTCCTTCTTTTATTAAGGCAATCAGTCCGAATCGATGGAAATCAAAGACACTCCACAGGGACCGTCGTTGTATCCTGCCATATTGGATGTGCGCAAACACACATAACCCCAGGAACGCAGACAGACGCTGAGTGACAACCCTCATCTCCCTCACCTGATGTCCCCCATGGAGGGGTCAGGGTGGGGTCGCCACCTGCCCAGCGTCTCAGGGGTAAAGGAACAGTGCGGAATAGGAGACATGGCCTCTTTGTCTGTACACACCCACACGCGTCTAAGTGGGAGTCTGCAGACAGGGCCAAAAACCTGTCACATTTTCAATTTGCGTCCTACGCCTAGAACTGTGTTTTGATGCATTTAAGCTCAACCTGCAGAAAAAAACATATTTCTACCCCCTTTCATTAAAAATTACCAGACATTCTCTAATTTTTAAGGCAATAAGGAGTCTTCAGAGTCCATCTGGTTTAACAGTCTTCTAATATGGTAATTCTTCTAATATGGTAATCCTGAGCAGAGTCTGTCGCTCTAATTCCTCTTCTGTTTCAGTTATGTTCAGATCCGACATTATAACTCTTTGCCGAATCAAGAAGCCATGTGTACGTCCTGTCAATCAAAGCAGGGCGATGACGTCGGGCCCATCTGGAGCCGACTGCACATGCATGAACCACAGGCCGCCATACAGTCTTCTGCACCGCGAACAAAGAAGGGGAAACAGCCGCCTCCTCCCACCCACATGCACCCGCGTGCCCTCTCTCGCTCTCTCTCTCTCTCTCTCTCTGTCTCGCTCTCTCTCTCTCTCTCGCTCGCTCTCTCTCTCTCTCGCTCTCTCTCTCTCTCGCTCTCTCT